TCTTTTCCAGCCCTGTTTTAGCAAGGGCTGATTCTGTGACGTAGCTTTAATGCAAATGAGCTGCAGCTGACCACGCCCCCCTGCAGGAGGGGGGCGTGCTCAAAGATCAGCTGCTGGGCTCTCAGAAGAGGGGGAGGAAAAGAGAGGCTCCGTCCTCCGTGTATTATTCTTATATTATTATATAGAGTCATTATTCATTTGTTTTAAAGCTCAATAAATAACGAAGAAGACCTTTGACCTGCACATTTCTAAATTTTAACGGACATGTTGACCGACGAAAAAAAATCAAACTGAAACTCTGCCGCACGGTCCCCTCGTTCCTTGGAAGAGGCGGAGAGGTTGGTGTTTTTCATCTGCTGGTGGCAAACCGGAGAGAATTACAGCGAGGGAGGGATTGCATTGAATTACAGCAGCAGGAGCAAACGCTTGCCTCGGGGAGGGAGAAAAAGAGCCAGAGCGGAGAATAAACAGAAGGGCAACCATGGAAACCATGCGCGGGAAGTCTTCTTCGCTGCTTTTGTGGCAGACTACAGCGCCACTTACAGGCCTGGCATATGTACTACAGCGTCTCCAGCGCTTTCGAGCAGCAATGGCCGGCCGTGGCCCAACCTCTCATTCCCCTGATAGGTGGAGAGTTGCCCATATAGGCGGAGCACCCCTTTTCTGACGTCAGAACAATTAACGTCTGTATCAGCTGTGTTGCAGCCCTTTTTTTAGAGATTTGGGTATGGAGGAAAAGAGAGAGGGTTGTGTTTTCTGACGCTTGGTGAGTTCCCTGACACACCGGGGACACATATTCATATATAAAAGACGTACAAAAGTGCATTTTGCATGACGGGTCCCCTTTAAGTTAGTATTAAGTTGAATGTTATGTTATAATGTTGCTTCAGCAAGTTTGGTTTGAATGGAGTTCATTTTATAGTCATTTTCTTGATTCATGATTATGTGTCTTGCATTACATTTACATAATATCTGAAATAAAGCTGACAAAGTTCACATAGCAATGCTTTTCTATACATTTACCTTGTTTCCTGAATATCCTGTGGGTGTTTGTCTTCAGTTATTGTTTAAATAAATACATTATAAGTCTATTTGTATTATAAAAGATGCTCAAATCAGGTGAGAATGTGATAAATACAAGATTTGTTGAGTAAGCAGACATCCTATTATTATCTACAGCAGTGGTTCCCAAACGGTGTGCCGCGGCACACTGGTGTGCCGTGAGGCAAGTCCGGGTGTGCCGTGGGATTTTGTGACAACCATACGTTATTATTGCAATATACAACTACACAAAAATAATTATTTTAAAATGTACTATATCAGTACTTTGTAGGTTTATATGTACGTAATCTGCGCGATTTGCGCGTCCACATCTCCACGTACAGTGCTGCATAAACATGGCTGAGTCAGCGATAACTTTCGAGGGGTGGAGGTATGCGCATTATTTTGAGTTCGTCCGAAGAATAGACAGGAATGTGACGGTGAGGTGCAAACTGTGTCCAGGCCAGAAGCTGTTATCCACTGCTGTAAATACCACGTCAAACCTCAACAAAGACCTGCAAAGAACACATGCTTTTTTGTTTATATCACGGAGTCTGTTCTTCTTCTCTGTCTTCCGGTTGTTGCCTGTTTTGAATGACAAATACACACTACCGCCACCTGCTGGTAAGGAAAGTTATTGCCACTCACGCATGCGCAGTTCGTACGTGCTCGGCGAGTAAAGTAACGAGTTACTTTATGTAGATAGTAACGAAGTAGTGTAATATATTACTTTTTAAAAAAAATATATATATAACGACCCCATCTCTGGAGTTGGCGTTCTCTACTCTGGTTTACATGAAGAACAACAGGAGGTCACGGCTCTCTGTTGAACAGGACTTGCGAGTGGCCCTCTCCTCAGTGCCACCAAGGATTACAAAATTCTGCGCGCCCCGACAGGCACATGTATCTCACTAATTTGTAAGTCGGCAAAAATATTTACAATTGCACATGTTTCAATGCTGATTGCTGAAATGTTACATTTATAATTTGTAGTTCAGGACCATGGACAATGCAGCTTCCTTGCATTGACAGTTCTCTGTGCTGAATTTCTGCTGAGTTTCCTTTGCCTCATTTTTAATGTTGTGACCTGTCTGGTTTAAATGAGTGTGTTGCTGCTTTGATGAAGCCTAATTTGATAAAGTTTCAAATTAATTTCTGAAATATTTCGTTAATAAATATTTCATGAGTAATATAGTTGTCTTTGTCACATTTTATTTGGCATTAGTAAATAATTATGCACATTTACAGATATTTTACATGATATGAGTGATAACACGTGTTATAAGGGCTATTTTGCACAATAGGTGTGCCTTGAGATTTTTACTTGTCCTTTGGTGTACCTTGGGCACACAAAGTTTGGGAACCACTGGTCTACAGTATATGCTGGTGGGAAGATGGTCAATGTAACTACACTTAATCATTAAAACATTTTTCAGATGTTATGATTTAAAAAAAACTGACAGAATAATGTTGGTTTAGAATGTGATGTTGATATAATGGTTGTAGTAAATTATATATGTGGGTACATTATTAGATGTTTTCTTGTTTTTCCAAATCATTGTTTTTTTATTGCAAGTGCTCCAATGTCAAGCTATTTCTGTTAAGTATTTGAAGATTTGTAGGGTTGTTTGCAGGTATTATTTAAAAACTTTAAAGTGATGTAACGTTTAGAGAATCATGCAGTATGTACTGTAGCAGAATGTGCATGTGTGTATAATCACACTAGCAGGTTTACAGCACAGATGGAGGGTTTAAAGAGTAGCCGCCTGAGACAATGCTCTGTGCTAACAAGTCAATTTGCAATGGGTTGTCGTCCCATCTGGCCTGTTTAATGCACACACACACACACACACACACACACACACACACACACACACACACACACACACACACACACACACACACACACACACACACACACACACACACACACACACACACACACACACACACACACACACACACCGCAAAGCAGCATGTCAACCAGCCTCTTCTTAGATTAAAACAACCGAAGACGTCTGAAAATATCTGAAGGAACTTTATCGCTCACTCTATCGAAGCTACTCAACCTCGCCCTCACTCTTTTGTGTTTGGTTTATATCAGCACATAACAAGTTTTCTCTCTTTCTCTCACGCATATTATATTATTCATCCAGCCCTCTGCTTCTTTAATCTATCCATCTCTTCATGCTTGGAAATGGTTGGAATTAGCCTAAGAACGTTTGTAAATTAAGAGGTCTTATTTTAGGAGCGGCCGACTTTGACATATATTTTACCAAAAAGAAAATAGACAAATGCAAAAATTGAGAATATCATATTTAAAAGTCTAGATTGTCAGCTACGCTTTAAAATGCAAAGCTATGTTTGAAGTTGGAGACAAAAGCGTGTCTGAACTGAAAGCCTGTTACATAACTGAGGATCTATTACCACTCACTGTACAGGGTTATGTGAGTTACCAGGGCAGTTGTTGTACTCCTTCACCCAGTCAATGGCCTACATATTAAGATTAAATGAAATATCTAATTTGTAGGGGGCCCCATTATGCTTATTTGAAGTTTCATATTTGTATTTTGTGCCATGTGACATGTTTACATTCTGCAGCACCTCTTTTCTCTGTCTGGAACCAGACTACAGTGTCTTTTTTGCAAAGAGGTCTACCTCAAGACTAGATTTTAAGCCACAACATTTTAGTTGGTCCCACAACATTAACACAACCTGACTTTATGACCAATCTTTTGTCAGCTAAAGTCTGACAGATGATCAACATTTCAACCAACCAGAAATCTATCTAATTGTCTGACAGATCAATGATTGTTCAGGCATAATTCAGGTTTTGTGTCCTAAAAACATTGTGACACCATAACGTCAGTTTGCTATGCACGGATAATGAAAAAGCATAATAACGAATAACCTGTATTTGACCAAAGATAAGGGCTGCTTGTAGGTTTACATTACACATCTATTCTGTCTGAAGCAAAGAGGAATGATCATCTCATTAAGACCTTAACCTTTACTGTTCAAGCCTGTTGGATACTGAAAAACACTTAGTTCCTGTAAACACTTCAGGCAATAAATTAGAGTTAGAGATATATCCAAACCAGCAGTAAAATACCAGTGGATCAATCATTTCAAAGCTCTATTTTCTTCAACATTATCCCTTTGTACTACACAGTCGCTACATCACTTTAAAATGTAGTTGGGTCTGTGTCCACATTTGTATTATGTGTGTACGTTTAGACTAAGTACCAACACTTGCGTGATAAACTGTGAACACAACAGTGATGAAATTAAAGCTGTGAAATTGTCTTTTGGTTTGATTCAGAAACACAAAGATAAGACAGATAAAGAGAGAGAGAGATAGAGACAAAACATATTAAATCACACAAAAGAAAAACGGCAGCTTAAATAAATACACCCTGAATTATGTACTAAGAACTAAATCAAGTATGTGTACTATTTTTTTATTGTGCACATATCTCTTCAGACTTTATGGACCTGGGTTGGGAGTAGTATGCACTGTACAGTAAATCTCCCTTCTCAGAAATACAAATACACTTTTGTATTTCATCCTTTTTTATGGATCTGCCTGAAGAAAACACACTCATACGCACAGATAGAGTCTAATGCACTGTTTTAAGATTCAACAAACTCATAAGCTAAAAGCAGTGTTTGGCTATTGGCTTTTTGTTGGCCCTCTACTAAGTTCCTTTCTGATCAAGCTGACTTTAATTTACACTAAGCTTCGATTTGTGGAGGAAAATCTGGGTTTGGAATACAAATGTCAGGTTTCAATTAAAGTTCACTTCGACCTCATACTGGATTTAATTTTGAAGGCTGTTTTTCAACAGATTTAAATGTTACCACATTATATATACATTCAATAATACCAATATTAAGTCCCTACATGTTCTAAAGATAATCACAAACACAAGTGAATTTAAATGAAGACAACAACTCACCGAGGAAAGCAGAAGGCGACACGGTGCCATTGCTCCGAGAAACCATGACGCTGATGCCAGTCTCCACAAATGGTACGGAGAACTCTACGACCTCAGACCTTTCTTCATTAATGGTGAGAGAACCGATGGCCATGTCAGCCCTGTTGGACACCACCTGGAAGACAGGACACAGGGAGTAATGTAAGGAAGGGTTAACCCTAACCCTAATTCAAGACTATGTAAAGGATATTTTTTACCAGACAAAACATTTACATTTATTTTTTAGTTAACCTGCATCACCTTATAATCTTTATTCAAATGTTGGAACACATAACATTTGTGAGTAATACCCCCTTCTACAAAGCGTGCTGTGCATAGAGGCATGCAGTATGAGAAAATAAACATCCAAAGTGAAAATACTTCACAGGCTTTGTCAATAATCTGGGGCAATGGATTGAGTTTTTCTTTTGTCTTGGCATGCAGCATGAAACTGGGCCGTGTTCCTCCTCAGAGTTGTACCGACAGCTGTAAATGAGGCTCAGGTGGTCAGAAGGTGAGGAAGTGAGGGGATTCACAGCTCTGTCATGTTTCATCTGGCAGGAAACAGAGGTTACTTGGCTGCAGCCGAGGGACTGTGGAGGTCAGAGGAGCTGGCTACTGACCAGAAGTTCTGTAGCAGATTAGTCTGAGTCTTGGCCTTGCCCCAAAAGTCTGTGAAGACAAAAGGCTCTGTGGTCCCTGACCAGAAACCACTGACACTATCCACCATGCTCTTGGAGTCACAATCCTTAAAGCCATTTTCATTCTTTCACTGTTGACATTTAAATGTTTAGCGTGATTGCTATCACCTGTCAATCGTAAAGTGGTGGCACTGAGGTGATTTGTATCTTTGAAATCTTCCATTGATTGAATTTGGGATAATGCAGGTGGTGTTTTTATCTAGGTTCAGCATGGCTTTGCTGAGAGCCGAAGGATGTACTAAGGATATACGTATGTGCTGAATAACACAAAGCTACCAAATAGTAAATAGCCATAGTTAAACGGATAGGTGTGAATAAAATAAACTGGTTGTAATAGGTGGAATAACAACAAAATAAATCTTTGTAAGTGACATGAAATGCCCCAAAGCTAATGTGTCACCTGAAATTAAGGCTATGTCACTGTTAAGTGCTGCTATGTTGTTGGAAACTGTACTCAAGAAACCTAACAAGCATGTTCAAATGGTTTATGACCAATACATCTCATCTCATCTTTTCTCCTACATTTTTAAAAGTTGCTGTCGATCAGGCTATGGATCTCAGAGCTTTCAGTGCATGAAGCTTATATTAAATAAATATATTTATATATGTGACCTGCTCTATCGACATCAGTCGGAAGTGGCAACGGTTCATTTCACAATAAAGTGGATTTGCGTAAAAAAATAGTTTTTCGGGTGTTTTGTTTGATTTTAAATAAACAAAGTCTTGGCTTTCAGAATATGAAACTTTTATTTCCAAAATCACACGATAAATACATGTTTGAAGCTTGTAAAGGGAAGAAGACAGGCACCTCTCACTCGCACTCTGCTCTTCCGCAGCGCCGCTCCCCGGCTGAAATTATGAATGTAAGGCGTATAGTAATCATAGATAACACGGCAGGGTCCGTTACAGTTTGTTTTAATCTGGTTTCAAATAAACAAAGTCTTGGCTTTCAGAATATTAAACTTGTTTCGGCAAATTCAGATGATAAATACAACTTTGAAGCTTGTAACGGCATAATTACAAGCGGAGAACGGAGTAACTTGACGTCACAGCAAGCATAACAACAGCCGGTGATTCTCGTGAGTGTTTTCCCCGGGAAACACACACACACACACACACACACACACACACACACACACACACACACACACACACACACACACACACACACACACACACACACACACACACACACACACACACACACACACACACACACACACACACACACACACACACACACACACACACACACACACACACACACACACACACACACACACACACACACACACACACACACACACACTTCTCCAGACCAGTAATCCAAACGAAAATATTTTCCCTCCGTACTACTTTGATCATTTGCTCCACTAATAATCAATCAGATCGATGGATTCCAGAGAAGAGGAATCTTTGAAGGCCTTTTCCTCAAAATGATGACTCGGTGACAGTCATTATATAATGTGACATATTTTGCTTAATATTTAGAGTACAACAACAATCCTGATATCATTAGAAAGCTAGGAATCACCTCTTTCAAACAGTGTATACAACTCAAAATGTGTCTTCGGATCAATGCTACTGATTTCGATAGAGCAGGTCACATATATGAAACACAACTAACTGCTCACTTTATTACCTTAATCAAAAAATAATTGCGCCATTGAACTTCATTTAATTAATGCAGTAAGATAGTGTTACACTTTTTAAGTTTACTTTGGGAAATCAATAGTTTGTCTTAGAAGCTTTTGGGGACATTTAAACATTTCTACGCATAAGTAGACGCATAAGTCACACTTTTCAAACCGTGTGAGATGCTGTTTCTCTGCCTGTCAAAATCAATCAATCTAATAATAATTATTCCATTAAATAAAAATAGGTCATTTACACTTGGAAAAAAAAGCTTAAAACAACACCTGTGACACTCCTGGGAGTGCTTTTTCGCTGCATATATTTTCTATTGGGAACATAAACATATTATATCCGGAAGATTCATGGTCTGAGCATGAGAAAATGTTTAGGACATAGGAAATAACTGCCATATTTGAAAGGCATTCATGTAAGGACTAAGGTCAAAAACTGGTTGAATGACATTTTGAAATACAGGGGAAATGATTATCAAAGCAAAGCCTTTCACTGAAGGTACAAGGAGACAGTAGAAGTCTAAAGTCTAATTTTACTTGTCAGGATGTAAGAGGCAAGCGCACAGGTTATATTTAAACATTTTTGTGATAACTAGGGGGTGGCTACTACCCATTGAGAATAAAACACTTTATTTCCTGCATTCTGGTGACATTTCTTTACACATTTCGTCCTGTTCTGCATCAATTTATGTTGAGATTTCTGTATGTCTATATGTTAAAAACAAATCAGGCATCAAGTGAAAATGATATATGATTTCATCACCACACATTATTTAGGCAACATTTACTCTCTCTTTTGTCTCCTATTATACTATTTTTAGCCATCTATTATAGGTCTCAGATATATACTATACTATATTCTCAGCTAAATGCTTCCGTGATTAAACGCCATATTTCAATGTTCTAAACCACATCAAGGATTATTTCTGAAATAGTATGGAGCTCAAATGCTTTTTATCTCACAGGTTTACCAAAAGGTGAGTATATCCAGCTTTTTTACACATACTCTCACCAGTACAGCGTTAGTTCTGAGTGTTAGCGATGCTTGCTAATGTAAACAAAGACCACATTACGTCCAAAACACGTTGCGCAGTGTTTCTGATACAGCAATATTTCTGATACAGCAATATTTCTGATAGGGCCGTGGGCGTAAAGCCAGCCCACATTTGAGTAATCTCGTCATGACTGCAGCAAATCTGGATCATCTCCCTTGAACCCCCGTTTTTAGAGATGTGGGTAAGGAGGAAAGAGAGAGGGTTGTATTTTCTGACACTTTGTGAGTCTCCTTACACACCGGGGACACATATTTATGTATAAAATACATCAAAAAGTGCATTTTGCCTAATAGGTGACCTTTAATGTGCAAGTGGCACTTATTCATGTCATTGAATAAATACACTTATCGCTATTTATAAACCCCTTAACTTAAGTTGCTGTGTTTAAGCAAGATGTTTGCTCATCTTCAAAATGTTTTAAACATTCAAAACACCCATATCTAGGTTCTGGAGGATTTTTGTAAAGTTTCAATTCTGTCCAACCAAAATATCGGGAGGGACGTATATCTGGGATCTTTATTTGATACTACACAATTGCTAAGATTTTTTAATACAAATAAATAAAAAATGGTTGAGTTGAGTGATGAAAGCAATGCAAGCGAGAAACCACAATTTTGTTTCTTCTTCTTTTTGTATTGTTAATACAGGTTGCTGGTGTGGATTGAAAACGATTACTGCTGCAGGTAGAAAGAAACTACGGTGACTAGCATTTCAGAAAAAAACTACCGCATTTCAAACATTACGGAAAGGGTATTCCTTTAAGCCCTGTCACACTGTCCTAAAATTGACACCAGATGGACACACGATAAAGGAAATGTTCAAATTGGGCTCTGATCGTAACAACATCGGGCCATTCGTGAGGGCAAAAAATAATTTTTTCAAAGTCACAGACACATTGGATCAACCTATGGATTAACCTTCAGCCGCGTTCTTTCTCGTTTTAATGCCATTGAACACGACGTTTGATCAGAATAACAGCTAAGGTGAGCATAGCTCTGTGTTTTGCTACCTAAAGCTACGTCGTGTGTTGTCTGTATTTGCTTCTATAATCTGTGGACTCTCAGGATGTTATCTAAGCTTGTTTTTGCAGATCCAATCAGTATATTGATCGGTATAGCTAGAGTTCTGTGCTAACGGCCTTAAGATGTTTTCGCTCGTGGCTAATTCAGAGGCTCAGCGTTAGCTTTGTGTTTTTTTGTTGCAAAAAAACAAACAAAAAAGATCAGTTAGCTAAGTTTCTTCCCGTTACTTTTCCCGGGTCGCCGAGGGTGCTGGCGTTGTTTGTTCGCAGCTCCTTCGCCCCAAATATTGTACTTTAGTCCAGATCAGAACCTCTCCTGCCTGGCTCTCTACTTTTGAAACGTCAGTCATCAGCCAAAATAGCAGCATCTCTCTATCGAATCGACACAGAACTTTGTGTTGTCATCTCCTACTTGCTGGCTCTTTCCTGCTCACTGGTCCCTAGCCCGCTAGCTAGCTAGCATTATCGGACCTAGCAGGCTGCTACCTAGATGCTCCACGGCTCCCTGAAGTCTGCTGAGCTAACATTTCTGTCTCCACCCCAACTCCACCCTAACTCCGCGGGTCGTGTGGGTCTTCCCATCCCGCTGCGATCAGCCGGCTTCCCCGCTGACATCGTCTATCCCTGCCGACTACAGCCGGTGGCTATCTCTGCACCAGGCTGTCAGCCCCTCATACGATTCTCCTCCGGAAACCACTGGAATTATTCTCCTG